TCTAATTGTAATAAGTTCTAAAGATCTTAATTAATAAAAATTTACAAGCGTATAAGCAATTTACAAAAAAAAAAAAACAATAGAGATATAGTAAATAGCTATTTATCATATCTATATTGTTTAATACTAATTTTAATAATAAAAAAATATTATATTATATAGGGTTTGTTAAGCAACGCCATCACACCTGTTAGTTAAAACCTCTCAAAACTTCCTATAAAACTTCATAATAATTGTATTATACAATATAGAAATACTCCTGTTGAGTCATTTTAACTTGGGTTAATTATATTTAAATTAATATTTAATACTAAATAAAAATATAATAATAATATTTTTATAGATAGTCAGCATTATAAAGACTTTTTAGAATTATATGGACAAAACACAAATGAACAATTTCATCTATCATATAGCAAAGTATTATCAAATGAACAAAATAGTGATTTGAATACTGGACGTTTTGTTAATAATCTAATTCGTATGTTAGTAGAATGTGATTTTTGTAGAAAATATTGATGCATATATTCTCAAACTTTATTAAATGATCAAGAAATGGATTTACTTACAATTCATTTAGAAAATATTTCATATAGTTGCGGCTCACCTATTTTTTATGAAGAACATACATTGGCAAATCGTATATATATAGATCATAATTTGACTTGTGATTTGCCAATTGAACGAAATTATTATTCATGTAGACTTAAAGATGTTGACTTGTGTTATTGGTGTGGTACAGAAGATGGATTGCTTGAAATTCCTATAGACTTCTTCAAAAATATTTATCCGTTATGTTATTCTTGTCAAGAAAATGGTTATAAATGGTCAACTTGTGCACCAAAATTATATGATAACAAAAGCTTATAAAATTTTTATATGAATTTAAAATAACAAAAAGCTTATATAAATAAGAAAATCTTTATATGAATCTAAATATATATGATAAGATTAATAAGCTAATTAAAATTTTAATTACTATTTTTTTTTTTTTAACTAGTTTAGCAAATTTGAAAAATAATTTTATCGATTATTTTTTAAGCAATTTCAAAAAATAACTTACTAATTTTATTATTAGTATTATTATTTTATATTTTTATGATTATAAATTGACAAATCTAAATTGGCAAATTGGCAAAAAAAAATAAGCTTATAAGTTTTATAATAAATAAATATATGGAATTGTTTTATGTTAACTAAACAATATAAACTAGAACTTTGTATGCATAATAATTATACGTGATTAATATTTTTAATTATATATTTTATATTCCGTTTAATTTTCTTGTTTGTTTAATTTATCCCTCTCCCCCCATTGAATTAGCTTAAAAGTTGACGTTAACCGAAGAATTAACTTCAAATGGCCTTATTATTAAATACACTTAAGGCGATTTCTTAAAGACCATTGTCCCTTAAATATTACAAGATAATCGATCACATCAATGGTTACAAATTAACCTGTGTCAAATATTTATAAAAGGTATTAAGTATATTATAAATTTTAGTAGCATGTTATAAAGCTAAACTTGGTTGAAATATAGTATCTTTGTATGTTATATTTACTTGACTATTATAAAAAGATTCTAATAGAACATCTGGTATTGTTACAATCATTCTTACAGATGGTGTTAATGAAAGTTTTGTAAAATAATGATCACTAGCTGCAAGCAATATATCTGTTTAAGTAGCAGTTTAATGATTACGAATACCTGTAGAAGTAGAACTTCCTTCACCAATAGGAATTTTATGCTTATCATTAGCAAAAATAAGTGCTACATATTCTTGATATTTAACTGAAAAATTATGTAGATATTTAAAAATTGCTTGATAGTAATAAAAATCTGGATATAATTTTTGTACTTTATATTTGATATTAAATTGACCAACATATTCTGTACTAACTCATGCCTATGGATTTTTTAGAAAAAACTGATATCTAATCCACCTTTCTGAAGAAAATAATAGCTGATTAAATAATTCTAAATTTGGAGTTTTTTCTTTAATTCTTCTATAATTTGCTCTTAAAGATCATGAACTGAAATAAAAAATGGCATATAAAGAATTTTTCCTTGTTGTCTATCATGTATAGCTAGTATGTTTTAAATAAAAAAATTAAATTATTCAAATAAAATTATATAAACAATTTATTGTAATTATTATCTCTTTAAAATATAATTTAAGTTCATTCCAAAAAACATTGAATTTATTGCCTTTAAATCTATTATTAACTCTTAAATCAACTACAATATCTGGATCATTCATTTCTAACATAGTTTTAAGTCTATTTTCCATTTCTTGTATAGGTATATTTTCAAAAGAACCTGCATCGCCTGTCAAATCATGATATAATAATGCCATAACATGTGGGTTAATTTTACTTACTAGTAAATACTAAAGGAAATTAAATTATATTAAAATAAATAATTAATAATATTTATTAACTAAATTTAACTAACCTTTGCAAATATATTATGTTTCATTCCTCTAGTAAAATAATATAGAATATTATCTTGAACTTTAATTATTGCATTTGCTTATTGATTATCAGATCTATCATTTATATTTATTGGTATATACCATGCAAAATTTAATGTTCCAAGATAATTTCCATGATAATAATAATATAACATAATTTGACTATCTAATAATAAATTTGTAAAAAATTGATATCTTTTATATTTGTTAGAAGGTAAGTATTCATTAATCAGAATAACTTCATAAATATTTGAATTTTTAATTTTTTGAGTTAATTCTTGATATTCAAATCTAACTTCTTCTGGCTGACAATGTGATATAAATTTAAATTTATTATTTATAGCAGAATTATGTGCCAGTTGCATTGTATTTCGAGTTACTGTTACACTTTGATTAACATTTTTAAGATATTCAATATATTTTTGTACAATATTTGTTAAGTAAAATACTTGAAGTATAAATGGTTTTCAATTTTGATTACTAGCTCAAGGTTGTTCTAAACATTTTTTGAACTGATTGAATATGAATTTCGAGTTTATAACATTTTATTATACTTTTTTTATAGTGTGAATCTTTTTTATAAAATTAACCATTAATATAAGGTGATAGGTTTTTAATAAAATTAGAAAATACTAAACCTTGAGCTTCAAATTTTGAATGATGTGCATCAAGATACCAAATTAAAACTGTAAGGTTTTCTAAAAATTTTAAACCTATTGTAAGCTCACAACTATCAAACCATCCACAATTCATTTTATTTAATGTTTTTAAAAGTTCATTAAATAACTAATTCCATTTTGTAGTATTTGGTTTTGGTGCAGAAAGTTTTTTTTGTTATGAACTGTTCATAATAACATCAAAAGCATTTGGTAAAGACTTAACAGAAGCTATTGAATTATTATTTTGATTATTGAGCTGATCATCAATAAAAAATCGTACATGAGAAATATTATGCATATTTGATTCACATGCTTGCAAACTACCCTCTACTCCAGATGCATGAAAGTAAAATTGAGCATTTCCTACACAACATACTTCTACACATACTATTTCACCAAATATAAACTCATTATCAGCTAATTGAAGTAAATCTCCAAATTTCTTGTTGCTTTCAATTTCAAACAATGTTTCGAAAACAACTTTGGATGGCTTATGACTATTTGATAAACTGTTACAAACAAAAAAAGAAGCATAGATAGATTGCTTAGTCAATAATAGCTTTTAATTTTTATTAAAGCAATCTAAATCTAAAAAAGAATGTTATTTATATTGCTTGACAGAATAAAATATTTTTGGAGAGAGAAGTACTATTTGCACAAGTAATATGGAAGGAATCTATATTGATAAACAGGAGGAACCGTCAATGTTACACGTTAATTCTTCACACGATGTAGTCAATCAATAATAAAGTTATTTATTTTGTGTTTACTCTAAAATGTATGTTATAAATATAATTTCTCACCCGTCGTTCACACGGGTGATCAGTTAAACTGAAATTATTTTTATGTAACTGGTGTAACATTAATGGTTCCTCCTGTTTATTATAACAAAATTATAATTAAAGCTATATTACTCGTACAAATAACAAGAATTCTGCCTTATTGTTATCAATTAAAAATAAAACAATATTTAAGGAATAAATGGCACTGTACGCTTTCAGATTATCTATTTTAAGTTTTTAGGTTTAGCAACAGATGGTTTGTTATACAACAAATGTCTGATTTCAGTATAACAGGAGGAAACATTGATGCTACGTAACTGATCCTTCACCCGGTGTGCAACATATAAAAAAATTATTTTACAATACCAGATAATTCCACTAGTACATGTTATGATTATAATCCAACACTATTTTATTATAGTAAAGATGGTGTTGGATTATAATCATAACATGTACTAGCGGAATGATCTGGTATTGTAAATAATTGTCATAGCTGATGCTAAAAATAGCTGATGCTAAAATTTTAGGTCTCTGTTTAGAACTATAAAACCTACTAAAACCTATCTATACACTTTAATTAATAAACCCTGACCCTAAACTCTACTCAAACTATTATATGAAGACTAAAAAAATGCACCC